ACACAGAAGATATCAACAGTTTATAATTCAATATACAAATAATTATAAACAAAGTAATACCAAATAGGAAAATTAAACTGCGTCATGCATTACTGATAATTTATCCTTGACATTCAGGTTGATAAAGAATTTGGGGAACGTTTACGGTTGTGTTAATGATCAAATTGTGACATATATTCCCTTGTGTTATATGAAGTTGAAAGTGTTTGTTGTCTGTTTGCTTGGCTGACTGTTTCGCAGTTGTTTATCTTGTTAGGAAACATGACATTACTTACTTAGATTGACCAAGATGAACATAACAGGTGACACCTGATATGTCTGTATTTTGTCCTAGTTTCATTGAATTTAAGTCTTAATTACGACTCATTTGAAATGTCTGTATTTTGTCCTAGTTTCACCGAATTTAAGTTTTAATTAAGATTCATTTGAAATGTCTGTATTTTGTCGTAGTTTCATCGGATTTAAGTCTTAATCAAGACTCATTTGAAATGTCTGTATTTTGTCTTAATTTCATCGAATTAAAGTCTTAATTAAGACTCATTTGAAATGTCTATATTTTGTCCTAGTTTCATCGAATTTAAGTCTTAATTACGACTCATTTGAAATGTCTGTATTTTGTCCTAGTTTCATCGAATTTAAGTCTTAATCAAGACTCATTTGAAATGTCTATATTTTGTCCTAGTTTCATAGAATTTAAGTCTTAATTAAAACTCATCTGGTATGTCTGATATTCTTTGTTGCTGTTGTTTTTGAATAACAAAACAAAAAGAAGTTCGGACATAGATAACAGGAAACCTCATTAAACAAAAAGTTAACAAAATTTTTGTAACTTTCGTTATTGTGCTATTTAAATAGTACATCGAGTGTAGGTGTTCTGAACGGGTATCACCATGGCGACCTGACAATAGGATGATTGTATCCAATCAACAGCCAGACATGTACATGTCACGTCTTTATTTTGCGGGTTAATATTCTATTATTAAACGACATATTATTTCATAAATTGTTATCAGTGTCCTTTTTCCAAATTGTTTTAGCCCCCGAGGTTTGCATTAACATGTCTGCCACGTTTTAATTCATTCAATAGTGATGATTTGATTTATTGTTTATGAAATGTATTAATTTAATTGGGTTATGGGTTAGTGCACTAGATCGCTAGATTTACATACTCTTAAATGCTTTATAGGTTACAACATTTAGGCCCATAGCTACACTGACGAAACATAGAAGGACAAAACACTGGTATGACATAGTTTATTCATTTAAATTTGAATTAAAAGATGACATGCACTTGACTGCCTTTTTGTAAACTATTCATCAAGCTTTTCAATAATCCATCCCATCCTTTCATACAACCATGACTAAACTATTCCAAATTCAAGATGCCTAGAGCCACTATTTTGATAATCAACATTTTAATAGTAAACTGTAATGATATGAGTACATTTGGGAGAATATTTAATGTTATGTTATGTATTGTACTTTTCATCCACATTCAGACGAGGATTTAAACAAATGAGATCATAGGTGTTATATACTGTTAAGGTTGCTATTTTCTATTTTTATTTTTATTTTAGAGAATAGAATAAAATTCCTAACTTTCGAAGGAATTTCATTTTGGTTGAATTTTCGGACACTCTTAATCTACGATTGAATTTGTCCGCGAATTGATAAGATAAATTAAAAGTAGCGTTGAGCTATATCTTTCTATGAAATTTAGTGTCAACTAAATGAGTGGTGATTTTTGAAAACCTCGAAAATTGATTCCCAAGAAGTCATACAGAGAAAACCCTAACAGTATCTATGAATTTTCGTACCTGTATAGACAATAGACGTTTGGTTTACTGGGAAGTCAGTTCTTCCCCTTCTTGTAAATGCGGCTCATAATATTACCACATGCAGTAATGTACCTTGCTTAAAGTCAGCACCGAAAATTAGGATTCCAATAATCGGGGATTGAATTTGAAAGCTGGTATATACTCCGCCAGTCACTAAAAATCATATCGTGTTCACTGCTAGTGGCCATCTTCTAGAAATAATAGATAAACATTTAAATGTTTCATTAAAATGTCTGAGAGGAGAGTAGTAATCTAAAATGATATGCTCTGGGAAAAATCTTCTATACAGCATCATTTATTATTATTTCTGAAACAAAAAGTGATACTTCAATCTGACGCACAACGTGACTAAACTTATGTATGATGAGGCATAGAGCGACTACATAAAATTATATATTATGACATACAAATCGATTTAAATAAATATATGATGGGACATGGAGCGATGCTATAAAATTATATATTATGACACACAAAGTGATCTAAGCTTATGTATGATTGGACTTAGAGCGATCATATATAATCATATATATTATGACACACCGTTATCTAAGCTTATGTATGATGCTACCTGACTCACATTGAGATGTAACAGTAAACGATACACATACATCTAATATCAACCGTGTAATATACTTAAACATTGTTATTATGACTTTTCACAATAAAATATTATTAAATGAAGTAGACAAACTTATCACACTTTTGTCATTATCAACAGAAATGTCAAGTAAGAATACAATATTACCTCTTGATAGAACGTCCTTGTTTCCAGCTGCGTTTCAGAATACTTGATCCTATCCTTACATATTCCAATTAGGTCCGTTCTATAACGATCCAGACTGTCAGTTACGTAAGTATCTAGAATTGGTCTGATGTTTTGTAGTTCTTTTTGTTCTGTTAAAGCATCTTTTACGTCGAATCTTTCAATATATTGAGAGTAAACCGAATCGAAAAAGAAGATAATAAATTTCAATATGTCCTTTTGTCGTATATTTTGCTTTGCTTGCCAAAAGATGATAACGACGAATGAAGCACAACCCGGGATGGCTTTTTCCTTACGCATTCAACATGTAACCATCTAAGTGTTCGTGAAAAGTGGGAGTATCCGTTCTAGATGCCTTTTTCGATTGTGTCACGTATAGCATTATTAATTTTGTTTAATGATATTGTAGCACAGACAACAACACCGTTATTTAATTGACGATGAATTTATAAGTACCGCTGATATTTGTCTTCTTTTCCTCCAAGAGCGTTCGTTAGAGACCAATAAGTCAACAAGGAAATACTCTTAAGTTAAAATCTCAAGGACTTACGAAGATGAAGTTACAACTTAACGGCAATTCAACCTTTGCTCTGGTGATGAATGTTTGAAAGGACATATTTTATTAATTGAAATAATGTATTGCTGCTGCATTACTTTGTTTCGCTTCTGGCGCCAGAATATGTTGCTTTCGAAACGTTCATTATTACTCATTTAATTCAACTCTGATCTTGATTAACAGGCACCCTTTGATATTTTCGGGCTAATCGTTTTGAGAACAAAGCCGCTTATCTCGATCATTTCCTTCAACGAAACTGACATGGACAATCTTCACCAAGCTGTATGATAAACGTGATGATTTCATTTTCCCTATGATGAATTTTCGTTTCTAGTCAGCGACATTCCTGCATCCTCAGCCAATGGTGTTATTATCAAGATTTTGTGCAAAAAGTCGCTAACTGACACACATACTCGTAACATAGGGTTTCAAAAGATGCAGGTTAAATAAACTTATGGGGAAGTTGTATGGTCGCTGCACTGATCTCATTGATAAATATTTCATTGTGCGAATTGAAACTGGGTGTGTTTGACATTACTTACTTGGATTGACTAAGGTTTACAAAACGGGTGTCGTCGATGAAGCAGAAGACGCTGATTCTTCCGGAATTCCTGGGCATTTTCTTTTGAAAGTATTCGTGTAGTTCTGTCTTTTGCTCCTATCTCGATCTAGTTTTATTGAACTTGAGTTTAGTTATTTAACTATTTACAAATTTCCATAAAATACCCAATAACAGCTGTTTATGCGATATTGATCATTCTCAGTGAATGGGTCATTAAAATGATTGAAAATCTTTTTGCCAAAGATACCGTATTGAAGTGTCATCAATCAAGTTTCGCCCGTCGTTCCCACTTTGCAAATTGGGCGAAATGAACAGTTGTCGAAAGTTGACAGCAATGGAGACACATGTGGATGACTGTTTTTTAAACAGAAGAATTTATGTTTTTGTGTTGACAACTTTGTTTCCTCTTTTCTTTTCACATATACAATACAAAGATTCATTCCATACTGTTATCTCCTGTACAATTTGGCGTTTATTTTTCCTCTTCTTTTAAGTTCGCTATCATATATTGACTGTTACTCTCTTTATGTCACTGGAAAATCTATTAATCCGCGTTCACTAGTGATACACAAGTAACCCAAAAAACCAACATCACCTGTAAGATAACTGTGTCGCTATCAACACTGTCTTAGGTCCGACAACAAAAGCACGCATGGTATTATCATTATTATGATTTTCATTCTTATAAAGCACTTCTCTCATCTGAATGAAGATCGTTTTGAAGATTGAGCGGTTTTGATGACGATTGATAATTAAACAAACTGTACTCCTTTAAGTAAAAGTGATTAGATGTACGGTTCGGTATTACTTGATGAGTTCGTAGTTACGTGAATATAATGTGACAGAAACAGTATTTAAGGTTGGTTTTGGAGGCACATGTTTTAATGGCGCCATATTAGCATGATCTCGAAATGATAATATTTGAAAATTTGAAAATTTAGAGATTTTATATATTTTACAATTTAAGATGACGTTAGCATTTACGTATATACATTTTTTTTATTAATAGATAAAATTCATTTTTGTGGCTTTGATATAAAGATGTCACCAGGGGAAGAGCAGTAGGCCTACATTGTAATATATTTTAAATAAGTGATTTTATAGTTGTTTATACAGCCTGCAAAGTCACAGATAAAGTGAACCACAGGCCTACATGTCACAGTTACTGGGAAACTATGGCTGATGACGAATATATCAACTCCTTTAAATAAGTCCTTATTATCTCATCTTACCAGTGAAGCCCTACTGATCTGATTGAGAGGGGAAGGAGGAATGAACATGGCGTAAGTAACTAGGACTTATTTTAAACTAAGAGCTAATTTTCATCAATCTGCTTAGAAGGAAAAATTAATTTAATCGTCATATTTCCTATCTTTTAAACACTTATCTATATCGAATTTGACTTTCCTGATATTACTGACAAGGCATCTTCCTTATAAATATCAGACTGACAGAATTTTGTACCAGGAACATTTCGCAATAGCCAGGCTTCACATTTCCCCCCTAAGTTTTCATTAGTGAAACCTGTTTAGCAAACCTAGCAAATGGGAATTTAGGTACTTTACAGTTTGAGATCCGAACGTCCATTGCCATTGATGGAAATTAATAAAATAACTGTAGTAGAATTTTCTAATTTTTGGATTTATTGAATCGCTCACAAATTCATTTGAATGTATGTTGTTTTAATAATAATCGCGTCTAGTTTTCAACTTCATGCTTAGCTATCCTTGTCAGGAGTATAAGTGCGGTACTTGATAGTTAAAGCTTAAACAGGGATAAGAAGGATTTTCAACAATGTCCTATCATTTTTTTATTTGCATACATTCAAAGATTTTCCTATCAAATCGGTGAGTAATGTTCTTATATTCCCAATGGAGTTATATAAAAAAATATATAATGTTTACTTTGATATTGGCTTTCCAACATATCATTATCTAAGTAGGGAACACTTTCATCCGTGTCATCTTCTGCCTCCTGAATTGAATCTATGCCGTTTTAGGATATCAAAACATCTGTGTACAAAACTGAATTTTTTATTTGACCTCGTTTGATCTGCCGAAATGATAGGATAACATATTACAGACGAATATTATCTTTCTCGGTGATATCTCCGTGGCACAGATAACGCCATATGAGGTGCCCCGTTATTCGGAGGTCAGACAGCTTTTGGCCGCCAATTTTCGTAACCAGGTGATCAGAACTGAGTTGCTGTTCCAATGCTGCTGTTTCTTCGATACAACAAAGACTGATATTAAACATTAAGCTTATATACATATTGAAATAACATTCTATTTAATTAAGAAGGAAAATGCAAAGCAATTTTAGATTGCCCATGGCGGCTTCTATCTCTCGTGGATTCCAATTACTAATAGTTTTGACATTTTGCAGGGCTTGCTAGAATTTATTGCTCAGGATAGGGGGCTATGTTTGAAGTTTAAACCGGACTTTCGCCTCTGTTTCATAAAATGAAAGCTTACATTTTTATTGCCTACAATTTCACAAAGAACAGCTATTTTAGAGAGATAAAGTTAACAATGTTAGCGTTAGGGCTTGTGATTTTATTTCCTGGAACGTTTACCCACGTAACTTCAGGCGAAAATAACTAGGTATAAAGATTAAAGTGTACCGACTGGAGTCTCGCTCTGTTCAACGGTCACTTCCTAAATCACGCAGGCATCACGCAGGCATCACGCATGCTTTTAAACATGGCTACGTTTTTGTCACCTTTACCAAAAAATTAATTACGAAATACATAAGTACAATCATAGGAATGACTTACTCATAATTCTATTTTAATATCAGTTTCCTGTATATAGTTTTTATGTACATGTATATCCGATGGGAGTATATCAGGTCACACACGCCCATCTGCGCATCTATACAACTTCCATGGTCAAGGTGGGACGTCCACATAAAAAAATGGAATATTTACATTCTGTGTTGCATTTGTTTTAATATCATTATTTTTTTAGTATACGGGACTATATACTACTTATTACAGTGATTCATTCGGTGAAGGAATAAATCTAGATGTCTCCCGAAGGAATAAATCTAGATGTCTCCCGATGGAATAAATCTAGATGTCTCTCAATTAAACAAAACTGGCCGCCGGTCACTTTCGATATATAGATATATCCGAAGTTGTTGCCTTCAAGTAAGAGGCCTTCAGAAAGTAAAAGTAATTTAAAAAAGGTTTGCCATCATAACAGAACAAATTTATTGTCAAACATGTAATTTTGCCACAAAATCATTATTATCGTCCTAACAAACTTGATTATCAAGTTTTTCAACATCGTCTGGAACAAGAGACGACGATCTGACAGTTCAAATATACAAATGCAAATTCCGTTTGTAACAAAATGTCGTCATTTACTGACAGGAGCGACTTTATATCATTTTAATTCTGAATATCACATCAATCAATTCTACGACAGGAAAGGAAAACGTAAATATGTCCCAATGAAGCACGAGACACATCGTTCGCGAAATCTGACTGAGAGCCGAGTCACTTTACAATGAAATGTCAATACGCATTAAACTGGGTTTGTTTTTTTCAAACGAACGGAAATAATAACATAAAGTCATTATTCAAATTTTGCGAGAATTTACTATTTCGTACTAATGAATAAGTTAAATACGTTTTTATACTATTTCGTAAGATTGTTTTCTGTAATGACGTCAGGTACTACAGTACAGTGTAAGGACTGCACTCAAATGCGGTCTTGCTGACGTCATTATTTCATAAAGCGGGGACTATAGACAACGTACTTCTGGGCCCGTTTTCATGAAACAGTTCTCATGCTCAAGCATTAATTTTGTGCTCAAATCTTATGGTTTATTTTTTAAAGGTAAAATTTGATAAATAAGGTTGATTTTGCCAAAGATTAAAAACAATTTGAAAGGACTTCAAGTCAAAGTTATATTCAATGTTTATATTTGACATTTGTATTATTTTATATGATTTAGGTGAATTATAAAAAAAATTTGCTTGAACACAAAATCTATGCTTGAGCATGAGAATGGTTTCATGAATACGGGCCCTGGTTTTTGTGTTGATTTTATAGATGATTGAGAACGGAAATATAAAAAATACTCTGTTACCAGATTGGTTACACAGTTGATATGGTAGAATATTTACAGTTTTCTAATAGCGCCATTTTATTTATTTTCCAGTTTGATTGACTTTATGTAAATAGTTTCACCATCTAGTAACAATTTATTGTTTTAATGCGTGGATCCAGAGAGCGTACCGGATTTGTAGACATTGTCTATACATCGAAAAATTACATCTTTTTTGTAAGAAACTACAGTCTTGATCATTGAAAAAAATTACTTATTAAGCACATCGTTACACTATTCTGTATTACAAAACACAATCATATAAAATATTCAGTATTCGCGGTTGTTCACCGAGTTATCATGATATGCTCACTTTCCACATGTAAACTAAATTTCATTAAAAACATACACAAGAGCAAAGAAATTTTTCAAGTGGAAAACGAATTCAAAACACAATAGCGTCAAAATGCTTAAAGAACAACAAGAAAATACCAACATGGCAACATAATCATAATTCAAACTCATTTCCAAAGGGTAAGATATAAACGTAAGATTTATACGGAGACTCCTGACAAAGTAGGAGAATAAGACCAGGTGTTCCGGAAGGGAAAGTGTCTGTTTCTTCTTCGATGACACCTTTCATTTAAACTTTGGTCAGTTCAAGTATGTGATGTCACGTTCTCAAATGAAAACAAGGCTTTCAGCAACGGGACCTGTTATTTGAATGAAGCATGGCACGTTTCGTTTGACATACTCCTTCTCGTATGCCAAAACAATCTTTGTGGTCGCGTAGACAGTGCTTCCATGAGCGGATGGTACAACTGTTAATTTTTGAAGAGGGTATTTTCGAACCTGATACCTCTTTGACATCAGAATGAATTGGTTGATCGTTGCAATCGCTGAGGCTGGTTTCACATTATGTGAAGATACGGAGATGAAATTCATTTCGTAATATCTTTTGCTTTAACCTGAGTTCCTTCCAGATAATCCATTACCAGAACGGAATGTATGACACGATGTCGTCTTAGGGCGATCGTTTATTTTCATCAACACTTGATATTTTTTTCCTTTCAGGGTATTGAAAATCGTAATCGTAGGTAGATAGGAATAGAACCCAAACATGCCAAAATTAACAGAAGCACCTTCTTTGTCCAATTGTAAATAATATCGATCAGAAGAAACTAAACTACTAGAGGCATAAGCTATTGGTCATTCAACACTGTTGTGTAAAAGTGAAAGCACGATTCTTAAACCATAGGACGATGCATCACATGAAAGGATTGGCTACATAATTCATCGAGTCATCATCTTATTCAAATTGATTTTATGCTTGGCTTAAATCAGGCTTTCTCAATTCCGAACCTTCTCCAAGTATATCCGTGTGTAATATAAAGCTCCTTTCTTTGTGGTATTGAATAAATGTCAAATCTCAACATCAGTCTTCGTTCACAGTGACCTTTTGGTCTCCAAACAAGCATTTTTTTCCATAAGTTTTGTCAATGGGTACGATTGAACTAGCCTAATCACCAAGTTCAGTTAGTTCGATAGTGCCGCCATGAACTTACCGATCAAGTTCTTCTAGATGTTTGCTGTGATTAAAAGCGACAGGATGCGCCTTAAAATAGCGCAGAGCTTCATCTGATTCACATGTATTTTCGCTTTGTTACTCTAACAAGCCTTCATCAAACACCTCAGATTGTTCATTCAGAATATCACTCAACACGTAAGCCCTTTCTGATGTGACCATGGTTACAGCTTGGAATCCAGACAAGATAGACGTGGTTAGTTATTCTTATATACCAGAACTACTCACAAGTTGTCCTTGTCTCCGAATTTTCAACGCTCATTGACCTGCAACTCCAAAATTGTGTAAGTTTGCAATCTCCAGATTAACCAGTGTGTCATTCAAATTACATGTAGTTGATTATGTATGGATTCCTTTCTTTGCATTGTACAGGATAGATGGTCTAATCATTGTAGAATTACTCATTGAATTCACTTAACCCTGATATCGGCTATGACCTTGCCTATGACCTTGATTGCGACCACAGTTGTGAGAGCGACCTCGACCTTGCAAGTTGTCGTAAACTTGTTTTGACCTTCAGGGTGTGTTTCCTTCCTCGAGATTATACGGAGTGTTTGGGCGTGTTCTGGGCTTAGTTTGATGTAGACAAATAGAAGAATTGGTATTCCAGAGGATTCCATACTACGAGTTAGCTTAGATGACGATTCTATTGTATTTGATATGTTTCTAAATTGATCAAGTTCATGACTGTTCTCAGGTAATTTAGTACGAATTTTGGAAGGATATTCTGTCAGCACAAGATTTCTAGCGGAATTGACATACTGTTTCCTCTTGTCTCAATTGGGTAATAAACCGATAGCCTCACTTTTGTTTCATCGTACGAAAACACTACCGTTAGTAGTGCAAGTTTCCTTTTGGTAATTATCCCGCTATGTTCGATGATATTTGTAATTATACTAACAATGAATCCTTAAAACTAACTTTTTTAGAAGTCATCGGCTAGATCGGCTGGTAACGCTATTGGCGCTCTTTGTGTCAACAACCACCGCCACCTATTGCTATCCCGGCATGCCATGCTTCCCATCCAATGAAGAACAAGTGCAATATACTGTAAGAGTGAATGGCCATGCAGTTTTTCCATATCAACCAGAATATGACGCAATGGTCATCATGCAGAATGTTAGGGTAACGAAATTCCCTCACTTAATCGCCACTCCGGCCTCCACTGAGGAAGTTCAGGAGGCGGTCAAGTTTGCCCGGAAGTTCAATCTGCATATGACCGTAATTTCCTCAGGACATGACTACTCCGGAAGATCAACAGGAGACGGAAGCTTCCAGATTAGTTTGAGAAACATATCTGATATCGATGTTAATTTGTCATCTACACGACATCTTGATGGCGAAGTTACTATCGGGAGTGGAGCGCCCTGGCTAAGCGTGTACGAAAAAGTAAGTCAACTACCATCAATATATACTTTCATCAAAAATCCTTTTGTTCTATATCACTTGAATTGGCTTCTCCCTTTAACTTAACAACCCTTATTCCTATGTTGTGTTTTGCCTTGCTTAACAACTCTTGGTCGGAGACTGTGAATCTACAAACCGCGTTTTGAACTGGAATACTCTCGAAACATAATAATTAGAAAGGTTTTGCTTCGTTAATATATTTCGATATATTTTACATAAAAAGTGTTCCTTAGAATACTCTTTGTTCGTTTTGAATCCTTTGTCCCCTAGGACGGTGTTTGATAAATTATTACTGGCAATTGATGTACAAGTGCGTAAGTTTTTATCTTACCACACAATACTTATATAAACTTCCGCGTTCTCTGTTAATGCCAGCACGACAATCTGATATTTCTACTCATGATCTATTTTTGAAATCAGGTGTAATAGTATAAGGTAAATAGGATTCTTCATTGATCGAACTTTAGGAGTGTTATGAACAAACAATAAAACTGGTGTATGCCGTTTTAAGTTTCTTTCGTTACACTTGATTTGTGATCCTGTAGGCCGAGTATGCAAACTATATAGTTAAAAACTTAAAGTGTAAAGTCTTACAAATGTTTTGTACATATTTAATACACAAGGTGAGAAGATGAGGTCAGGAAGTCTTATCCTTCAAACAGAGGTTTTTTCATACTTTCGTGTTTCTAAGCCGGAAGTATACAAAGTTATATAACGCATGTTTCTTCATCAACAGCTCACTCAATACGACCGTGTTATTGTGGGCGGAAGTGCACACACTGTCGCAATGGGAGGATATACACATGGTGGCGGACACAGTCCAATGTCCCGGATGTTTGGACTGGCTGTGGATAATCTGCTCGAGGTAGAAATTGTTTTAGCTGATGGTTCGATAGCCATTGCCTCGGCAGATGGTACAGGTAAAATTTATTTTATAAATCGATCTACATTACACGGCAGGAATACAGGTTCCCCTTCCCCGTTTCTATTAAAATTCTGCCAGAAACTAGATCTGTCATGGATAGTCTCAGACATGTGCAATAACCAATATCGACTCCTTCTTTTCCTTCTCTTTCCCTTTTATCTTCCTCACGCCTTCTTTTCTGTTGTTGTTTTCTTTTCCTCTCTCCTCCTTCCAAAAGGACTTTCATCAAGCTGATGCTTTTAGCTATCATAATATGATATCGTTCGTATTGACCGTTGGAAAAACAGTCCCAAACTGTAAATGTTCCTGTTATATATTTTCTCGTCATACAATAGAAGCTTCTGGTAAACCATGCTTCTATGCAAAGTGAAGCGGTTATACATCACCTACAAGCCTGCTCTTTATATGTTTAATAAATGTATGTATGTAGGTATGAGAGATAATGACATGAAAATACTATAAGGTATTAAAAAAGACCAAACTGCTACTTCTTTACAAAAAAATAACAGTATAGTCTCACTAGAAAGGAATCACGCTTATACGATACCATGAGTAACTGTTATTAAAATATGAGAATAATCCCTTGTTATTTATTATTTGGACTAAGATTCATTTTTATGTAGGAAAAATACATACGAATGGTAAATAAACAGCATTTATCGTCTCTTTTATTTTACATAATACTGACATCTTCTCGACAGAAATCACAGGAACAGATGGTGTAGTAAATCGTACATCAGACTCGGATCTCTTCTGGGCTTTACGTGGTGGAGGGGGAGGCACGTATGGCATATCAACCAAGTTCACATTCAAAATACACAGGGCTGCGAGAGGAGTGGTTAACCTCGACATAGCCTATCCTATGATACTTGAAAATGGAACTTCTGTCGCTGACCAAGTACTGCAAAAAATGTCCGAGATTATCCTCTCTGCTCCACAACAATGGGGAGGATATTTCATGATCAACGGATATCCAGATGGAAAAACACATGGAAATATTGAACTATTCGCTAACCATTACGGAACATGGGACATGGCGTCAAGAAAGTATATGGATGAGCTTGTAAACTTCCAACGGGATTGGCAGAAGCGTGCGTACGTAGCGAAAATAAATTTAGAGGCTTATATTGTTCCTGCAATTTTCGAGAATGGATGAAATCTTTAAAAAGAAGTTACATGTACCATGAAATTCTTTTATAAAGAAACACGTCCATATTTATTTAACTTTAGGGTAAATCCGTATAAATTTAAGCAATTGTAAAATTATAGTTTAAGTTAAAGCTTACACAGAAATCAGGATTGAGAACCAATTGAAATACACAATGATGGACTTTTTGGAACATGGTGAAAACATGGTAAAAAGCTAAAGAAATATTACATAAGGTAGAGTAGGGCTGAGAGGAAGGAAGCCAAGATGGAGGACAAGGTCAGGCGCCAAAGCCAGGAAAAGCAGGGTACCGAGATAAACTTTAGTTTGGAAACGAAATGGGAATGCAAATTAAAGAACTATTATATGGAACCACGGTATTAAACAACTAGATCAGGCAGCTAGACCTAATTAGGAAACCAAGGACGTAACGATGCGAAGAAATAAACCAAGGATTTTGGGAAGGAAACCGTCATAATGTAGTGGAATAAATATATATTACACCCCTGTAAGGAAGAGTTACCCTAACAGGGAAAATGGCGAGTTGGGTCATTGACATAATTCGTTGTTCGATCTTAAGTTACCAGTTTCCATCTGCCTGTTAAAAAATATCCAAAGCATTCAAACCGAAGGAAAGTCGGTTTACTGACTAAATGAAAAACAGTTGTAATGCCTTCATAGTAGGTATTTATTACAAAATCACATCCTAATTTCGTAGTAGTATTACAGTAATAGCGAGTAATATTGTGGACCGGAAGTTCCAACCGGCTTATGTAAATTAGTTTCATACCAACTTCTAGTTTGACGCTTCATTTCATTGTTTTGGTGTTCTTGTGTTTCAGTTTGGATTTTATTGTTTCTCTAAAACATGAAACATCTTGATTGCAGAATTTATAGGAACTATACCCGTTTCATAGATTACGAACGAACGGCAATAGACGCCAAGTACTACAGGACTTACATCTCAAACATTCTGATGAACAACCAGAGTTTCACGCCTGAGTGGAGGAAAGCCATGATCGAAAATGCATTTTCGTTTCCGTTACAAAAGTCTTCGATTTCTGCAACTGGAACATGGGTCGGAGGTAGATATTCACTGTTTACTTACACCACAGTTTTTTAATCCACGGAATAGGGCCTGTGGAGCTTTTATTTAACATAATGTGACAAATCCCAAATTTTGAAAAGAGATTTCAATCTGATTATTCGTTGATTAAATTTTATGTTTTAAGCAATTATAAATGAAACAAATATTTGATCCTAAAATCTATTGACATCATTAAAACATAAAACAAAACAAAACTAAAAAAACAAAAAAACAAAAAAAAAAAAGAAAAAACTTTAACCTTGACTACCTATAATTTAAAATGGACGACATGGGTTGGATTTTCTTATTGAATGGAAGGGAAAATGCCATTCAGTACTCTAGACATTCAACCACTCCAATGATAATGTACAATTTTATTAAACGGGTAATCGTGAAGATCTATAGAGAAAAAAAATGGAAAAATAATATCAAAAGACAAAAGGCATGTTTCGCTGACAACGTATGAGTATGAAAGGCCATTGCTAACATCAAACAACTAACAATCACCAATACAAAACAGAAACATGTAAAAATCCGGCAGTACGATTCATAATCCCATTATTGATCATTTTCCATCTCAATGACAAGTTTACAGGTACATAAAAGTACATAAACATGATAAAGGCGATAACTTTTCAACTGTTTCTTTCAGGAAAGGTTCATGAAGTGGGAACTGCTGATACGTCGGTTCATCCAGGTTTCCGGGAAAGCTACATGTCACTTACTTCTGGAATTAGCTGGTCTGGATATGGTGACCATGAACATGAATTTGTGGCAGAAGGTCAAAAGGTCAGAGAAAAGCTGAGACCATTTGGTTTCGGAAGTTACCGAAACGAGGGCTCTGCTGATTCACCTTCGTGGAAAGATGACTTCTGGGGAAGTAATTATGACCGTCTTCTTGTTATCAAACGTAGATACGACCCAGACAACGTGTTCTCGTGTGCTGACTGCGTTGGACGAGATCTATAATGTTGGCATTTGCACCAAATGAATGACATAATAGTATTGTCATGGAAAGTGAAATAATAAAAATGGAATGAACGTTCTCAAAAACGGAAGATTTGATCGGACTATGACGGTGATTGTTGGACGTATCAGTGTGAATCTATAATGAAATTTACAATGTATTTTCTTACTAATATTATCAAAGATTCAGACATCATTGAAACGTTTTGATTTTATTTAGTTCCGTAGCGTTTAATTACATTTGTAATTATGAAACGTGATGAATCAAAACAAAGCAACGTTGACGTTTTCAAGTCCTTTATATTTTTATTTAAAATGGCGTCTTCAAATCTCCTTATAGCGAGAAATATTACCCATCCGCGATCCTAGCATCAGCACGTATTGATCGATGTCTTAACTCCATCTCTATCATAGTTGGCAGCTTTCCAGTTAAAACCAAACTGTAATCACTCAAGTTAAAGAAGATTCTGGTTCACCAGCGTGATTCCTGTAGGAGTCCATCCGAGGCTCAGAACCTCATATAATGGCGAAGTTAGCTCTAACCTCTAGACAATTATAGTTGAACTAAAGGAAACATCAAGAACGTTTAGTACGGCAGGTCATCTAATGTAAGAAAGTAAGACACGACATATTTTGACTCCTTCAAGTCTCAGATTATCAAAACAATTGGCGACAATGAATACAAGGAATAAAACCTTGTCAGTTTTATCGCTTCCACGAAAAACATTATCCCACAGCTTCGAGCTTTTAGAAAAAAAACTGCAAAAATTTGAACCATTGAAGAACGAAAAGTATATTCAATCGTCTTTCTAGTCCACCAGTGGAAAACTATTTAATGCGAAAATCATTCATGTAAAGCAACAGGATACTAAAATTACTTACATTCAGTTTCCAAAGACCATGCAACAGGAATAAATGTTCAAGTCAATGGACTTGATCCCAAAAATATTCAAATCACCTGAGAAATCATATTTTGGGATTCAAATCTCATAGTTTATCATAGGCTTTAATTTGGATAGACAATACTCACGAACTAAGTAAAATTGCCAAGGATAAAAGTTAAATTAATTCTGCAGATTTGTGGTTCAGATGTTTAGAAGAATCAACGAAAATGAAACTACCACGAAAATGATTCTACAATGTATTTCATTTTCACCTCTTTGAAATTCTACTCTGGTGTTGACGGAACGAGTATTTACAAGATGGGCATTACCATTCCCCTCAAAACAAGAAACAAGGCAGGAAACTATGTATACGTTTTATTTATTAAAACATAAAAATAGCAAATACATTTACAATATTTTCATATATGAAGATATTAAAAGATATATTCCATCCATCTGTCACTTAGGTGTTCAAACCGCCAAATGGTAAAAATCGAAAAGTTGCAGTTTACATATATTTTTCAATTCATTCATTTATTTATTCATTGTCATTTCTTATTTCCGTTGTTCACAATATACGACAGTTTAGTTAATGTACCAATTGTATAGTGGGAAATGGCACTTGAGTTGTTTTGTACAATATATTCTACGTTGGGAAATGTTAACAAACTTGTTGGAGAGGGAGGAAATTTAAACATAAAAAATACATTGGGTAACTGATCAAATCACTCTTATTCATGGCATCGTTTGTTATAAAGGGAAATGTTAACAAATCTGTTGGAGAGGGAGGAAATTTAAACATAAAAAATACATTGGGTAACTGATCAAATCACTCTTATTAATGGCATCGTTTGTTATAAAGGGATGTCTGATTAAGTACTAATTACTAACACATTTCCATATCGTAAGGTACCTATTGTCTAGTTACTGCTTGATCGACTTTCATCATCGATCAAAAATATTATTTGATCTACTAGTTACTGTGAATGACCGAGATTTCGTGAATACTTAATTTCGAGAAGTTACCTCTTCAGACATTTTCACGAACCCTGATCTAGAAAGGAAAAGCTATTAGAGACATGGACTCTGCATGGCTTCCTTATCGATAACCAAATCAACATAGATGGAGTTATTTTTGTACAAGTGATCGAAAGGATTTGAATTCGAGTTTGACTCCTTTCGAGTATTAACGCGAAAATAATTCAACACGAAATTTGAGTGATTTACAGTAATTTTTACCATATATATGGAAGGGTATGAAAAACAACTGAGATATGAATATATTTGTCCATATAAATATATATAGATTTATTACGTGTGCGTCTTTGAGGAATATTGGGAGCAATTCGGAGTACATTGTGTTTCGTGATTATGATACAAAGCATGTTAGAATATAAGATAACCATAGCGCGTCTTTAATATGAAAAATCAATACATATAGATAAATGGGGCATTATCACACAAAAACAAAATATAAGTACAAACTAGACCAAGATACAAATTTGTTTCTGCTTATAAATAACATTTGTACGAAAATGGAAATTAAAAACAGTAAAAATAGAAAATTTATAGTCGTAAACACAAAACTTAATGTCAATTCCCGACGTATTCATCCAAGTTGATTTGCATATATCTCTCGATAATTTGTGTTTGAAAAAGCCTCAATGAAAATTATAAACGAAAGTATAAAAAAAGCTTGTACTTCTAAATTATGGAGATATTCTGCGTTTAGTTTGTTACTACATTATGTCATTTTAACTATTTCCCTAAAATAAAAAAAAAACTGCAGTTATTTAAACGAGACGGGAAGCGGCAGCATTGAGGTGATGAGGTAATGATCACCATTATCCTCGATGAAAAAATGATTTCAACAAGTGATCCATGAGCTTTAACTGTCATCTAGGCCGATATCTGATAAACTGGTAACAGCAGTAGTAGCAAAATATCATGAACAAAGAGATGATATGGACTACACCTTAGTGTTAACACAAACGTTAAAAGCAAGACACTAAAAAAAGTCCATTAAAATGATATCATGAACAAAGAGATGATCTGGATTACACCTTAATGTTAACACAAACGTTGAAATTTAGACACTAAAAAGTCCATTAAAATGACATCATGAACAAAAAGATGTTCCGCATTACACCTTTATGTTAACAAAAACGTTGAAATTTAGACACTTAAAAAGTCCATTAAAATGACATAATGAACAAAAAGATGTTCTGCATTACACTTTTATTTTAACACAAGTGTTGAAATCAAGAAATTTGTCGAAGAGAGTAAAAAGGAATTACACAGAATTCCAGAGATCATCAAAGAACATCGATTTAAAAAAATTGAATATCAGAGCAATTGTTATCAGTAATATCTTGCATTAATGGACGCACATCCTCAATACAAAGTAATACTGAAACATGTACTGAAACAGAATGACGGAAGAAAAAAAACTCCGAACAAACCAAAATTAAAAAAAAAAAAAATTAACAGGACACATTTAAGCCACATAGTCATATAAACAATCAGGTGTACTAATGGCAAAAATATCAATATTGAGGATTTCTATATGTACCAGCAAGTATTAGTTTCCAGAGCAACGGAATCCTTAACCATAAATTTAACCTCACATTATTAATCTGATCAGAATATGAAGTTAACATTAAACTACAAGAACATAATTAAAGTGTTTGTACAAGTAAAAGCATAAAACTTATTTCGTTTTTTAATACTTGGGTTCACCCTTACTCATACCCCAACTCCCCAACCTCAACACTCATACAATGGAAAAGCCGTATGTGTATATGTTATGATGTATAAAAACACTTTTCCTCGTTTGTCCATAAAAATTCAAACCTGCCTTCAATATCATATATCTGTCACTGGTTTCGGTACTCTGTTATTCAAAGCACAATAATCAAATTCTGTATCACGGTCATCTATTTGTATAACCCACTTCGCTAACGTGAGTGTGATGAAGTTTTGAGTTTACAGTATTTTGTCCAGCATATGACTGGAATGGTATACATTTACACGTATATTCGTGCTTTGATAACTATGCTCAGAAAATCTTTTACCAGTTTTTGAATCCCATGTCTTTTAACCAAGCGTTTGGGTCAGAAACAGAAACTGTTGTATTGTTCTTAATGGCGTGAAGTAGTTCCAATCGCTTCTCATACCCAGCTTTCTTTTCTTGTTCTTCTGAGTCAATCACACGCATGATGAAATCCTTTTCGTTTTGTTGAATTCCTTGCAAAGTGTTGCTTGATTTAACTGTCCTTGAGATAAGAGAGATCAACTCTTCCAGCAAAGACACAAAAGCTCGTTTAATGGCCAGTAGCATCGCATCAGCTGATACATCGTCTTTTACATCAAATTTGTATTTTGCTTTGATGCCTTCGTACGTCCTGGTCACCGTCACCGTCTTTTCATCTATCCTGAATGTGTCGTTCCTGTGCACATGCCAGACACACTTTTGATGACATACTGTACAATTTCCATTCTTCATTGCTGCGCATCTAATTTTGCCGTCATTGTCGGGAATTTGACAGGGATAGTGGCACGTGGTGTGGCAGATGATGCAGTTGGTAACATGTGTTCCAGGCGCTAGAGGAATTTTCTCTTGTTGATACACTTCTTCTTCATACGTGAATGATTTCTTCAAATCAATGTCGACAGCATACGTCTTAACAGTATCTCTGTCAGCTTTTATTGTCGCAAGATCCATGAGTTTGACGTTCATATCCAAACGATTATCCTGTATCTCTGTCATTATCTTCTGTTGATCTTTTGGCTCAAGGGAGGGTGGTATAGCTGCTGTGGTCTTGAGAGGACAAGGGTTCATGGTCTGGAGATGTTGTAAAAAATCTTCGAATCCTTTAGATCGAAATTGCCACAAAGTCTCTCCCAACAAAGCATCTTCGGTATACGGAGGGAAAAGTGTTGAATTATTGAAGACGAAGTGACGGACTGTCGGAAAACCTATTGTTGAGAGGGTGGATAACACCGATGGTTCTTTTCCGTCTCCGAATGTTAGCATAGGAAGAATGTTCTCCAGCATGTTGACTCCAAATATTGACGCTATGCTATGAGATACGTCGCATAAAGCCATATCGATACTGT